TATATTTGCGTAATGGTTATTTTAATGTTTTAATACACGATTTTAATTCTCATCGTATAATTAATTCTATTTATAGTATTTAGAAATAATAAATACTAAAATTTTATGACTTGTTTAAATTTTTAAACAATTCAAGAACTTACAAAAAATTTTAGTATTTATTATTTATAAATACTATAAATATAACAATATGATGAGAATCAAAATCATGTATTAAAATATCAAAATAAATATTGCCCAAATATATAATATATTATCTTTTTTTTAATAAAACGTGTTGACACTTTAGCAACTTTAGGTTCTTGAACTGTTTAAAAACTGACTCAGGACATAAAATTTTAGTATTTAGTATTTATAAATACTATAAATATAACATGATGTAATCAAAATCATTATGCAAATATCATTATTATTTATTTTAATAAAACGTGTTGACACTTTAGCAACTTCAGACTGTTCTTGAATTGCTTACAAATTGAAGTTAGCAACATTTATGACAAGTCAAACTTAAGTTATATTATTTTTTTATATTTAGTTATTTATTTTATAGATTATTATAATATTGTTATGATCGTGCATAAATCATTATTAATTTAATAATTATATAGGTAAATAAAATTCAATTATTATTTTACAATAAATATTAATATATTTTTTCTTTTCAGAAAATCCATACTAGGTATCTGTAGGTGTGTTCTTATATCCAATAAACCATTAATAATGGACTCGTTTGGAGATTTTGAGGATTCTGAAATTGAGCATCATTTAAGCCTTTATACAGCCTTAAATAATAGAATTTCATCTGTGACTGTAAGTTTAAATATTTAATAAAGTAGATAATAATATATAACATATTATCATTTTCTGCTATAGCATTCATCTGAGACTTTCTTTGAAATTATAATTTTAAAAGACTACTGGTTTGGTATGGGTAAACTCATTTCCTTTGATATAGAAAAACAACAGACACACCACCCTTACTTTGTTTGGCAAGTCCTTGTCTAGCTACATCAAAAACATTTAAAATTTTTGCAATCGATTCAGCAGTTATTGAGAAAACTTCAAACGATGGTCAAAAATCGGCTCACACACATACTTTTTCCAAAATTTGTTCCCAAACGATCCTGAATGACTTGTTGCATGCAAGGCAAGCTCTCATAGAATTTAAACCATTTTATTAACTTCCCGAAGGAGAAGTTTATGTTTTCATCAAAAATGCGATTCGCTAATTTTGTTTTCTCGACGTTTCAAGCCATTCTGAATCGAATGAGACCAAATTTGGAAAAAGTATGTGTGTGTGTGTGTGTGTGTGTGTGAACAGATTTTTTGCCGCAAATTGACGTTTTCTCAAAAATGGCTGGACTGATTTAAAAAATTTAAAGCCATTCGATGTATCTCAATGAGGACTAGCATTTATGAGTTTGTGTGACGATCGTCCAAGTCGTTTCTTTAAATAGCCAAAAAGTGAAAAAAAAAATCGTCCACGTTTTGGCCCGCAATTCTTAATCGATTTTGAAAATTCAAAAACCGTTCAAAAGATATTGGTTGGGAATCGTGCTGATTAGTTTTTGGTAAAGATCAGCCGGGCCGTTTTCCTGTAATAAAGTTAAAAAAAAAAAAAAATTCGACGATTTTTATGATTTTTTTTTGACGGCAGATACCATAGTCTTCTAGATCATACTAAAATATTACTGCCCTACAACAACTCGTTTAGCTTTAAAAATTCGTCAAAGTTTGCAAAAATTGGTGTCATTTTTTTGGCATTTGTCAAAGTTAGACCTTTCATCGACGTTTGCTCAAAAACGCCTGAACCGATTTCGGAAATTTAAAAGCCGTTCGATGTATCTCAATGAGCACTATAGTTTGTCAGTTTTGTGAGACGATCTGTCGAGCCGTTTCTTTGTAATTTGAAAAAGAGTGTTAAACTTTTCGCCCACATTTAAGCTCATTCTATCGAATCGATTTTAAAAAATCAAAAACTGTTCGAAAGATATTAGTTAGAAATAATACTGATTAGTTTTAGGTGAAAATCTACCGAACCGTTTTCTTATAATTAACTGTTGAAAAAAAATTTAAGCCGATTTTTATGAAACTTTCCTTGGCGATGTATATCATGGTCTTATAGAACTTGCTAAAATATTACGGCCTTACGACAAGTAGTTTAATTTTAAAAATTCTTCAAACTTTGAGAAAATGAGTAGTTTTGTTGACGTTTGTTAAAATTAAAATTAGATGATCTACTTGGTATAACTATATAGTACTTGGTCTTAATGAACATACTAAACCATTAACGTCCTACGACAACTGGTTCAATTATAAAAATTATTGATTTGTGAAAATTTGCTTTTAGAAAATACTCCGAGTTAACGTGTTCGTTCGCTTTCAATTATGTGTAATAAATCCAATCGTAATACTTTCAATCACTCATAAATTAATTTGTTTATTATTGATCAAGTCGATTATTTTCACATATCGGGTAGTTCATGTAACTTGCCTCAAGGCAAAATACCAATACCAACTAGTTGTAAAAGATCTCAAGCATATGAACTGCTTTTTCCATGGCATTTTCAGTACCATACAGCACAATCATCATATATACATAGAAAATTGCTGAATCAAGTACAATCATATATTCCTGCACAATAGTTATAAATTCTTCAACTAAATTAACTTGTTTAAAACTGTTTTCAGGAAATCGCCAGAAATTGGACAGAGTTGTACCTCAAAGACAAGTACAAGGCATTGGCTGATCTGATACAACTTTTTGAAAATGCCAGTGCTTTCAACGGTGTTCAAGTGACCGCAAAAATGGTGAAAACACTTGAACATTATGCCCTGACAAACATAATAGAAGGAAATTTTGTGGAGGTATAATAGATAATGCAATATATCACGATGTTTTATTGAAGTGAAACTTTTTAGGCGACTTCAAACAAGGTTGCTTTAAATGTTCAATGCAAAGTGAGCTAATGTTTGAATAATGATTGTTTTAGAATGCTATAGATTAAGAATGTTGAAGATTGTTTAAGAATGTTGAAAATTGTTTTAGATTTTTTAGAATGTAAAACGTTTTTCGATGTTATGGATTATTTCATGATTTGTAGAATATTTTGTAGAACTTTGTAGACAGTCTGACAGTATCGCAGATAGTCTGAAAGTGTTACAAATCATCTGGAGGTGTTGCAGACTGTCTGAAGGTCTTGCAGATTGTTTTGACGACTTGCAGACTGTCTGAAGGTCTTGCAGACTGTCTGGAGTTCTTGCAAGACTGTCTGGAGTTCTTGCAAGACTGTCTGGAGTTCTTGCAAGACTGTCTGGAGTTCTTGCAAGACTGTCTGGAGTTCTAGCAAGACTATCTGAAGTTCTAGCCAGACTATCTGAAGTTCTAGCCAGACTATCTGAAGTTCTAGCCAGACTATCTGTGATTCTTGCAGGACTGTCTGTGATTCTTGCAGGACTGTCTGTGATTCTTGCAGGACTGTCTGTGATTCTTGCAGGACTGTCTGTGATTCTTGCAGGACTGTCTGTGATTCTTGCAGGACTGTCTGTGATTCTTGCAGGACTGTCTGTGATTCTTGCAGGACTGTCTGTGATTCTTGCAGGACTGTCTGTGATTCTTGCAGGACTGTCTGTGATTCTTGCAGGACTGTCTGTGATTCTTGCAGGACTGTCTGTGATTCTTGCAGGACTGTCTGTGATTCTTGCAGGACTGTCTGTGATTCTTGCAGGACTGTCTGTGATTCTTGCAGGACTGTCTGTGATTCTTGCAGGACTGTCTGTGATTCTTGCAGGACTGTCTGTGATTCTTGCAGGACTGTCTGTGATTCTTGCAGGACTGTCTGTGATTCTTGCAGGACTGTCTGTGATTCTTGCAGGACTGTCTGTGATTCTTGCAGGACTGTCTGTGATTCTTGCAGGACTGTCTGTGATTCTTGCAGGACTGTCTGTGATTCTTGCAGGACTGTCTGTGATTCTTGCAGGACTGTCTGTGATTCTTGCAGGACTGTCTGTGATTCTTGCAGGACTGTCTGTGATTCTTGCAGGACTGTCTGTGATTCTTGCAGGACTGTCTGTGATTCTTGCAGGACTGTCTGTGATTCTTGCAGGACTGTCTGTGATTCTTGCAGGACTGTCTGTGATTCTTGCAGGACTGTCTGTGATTCTTGCAGGACTGTCTGTGATTCTTGCAGGACTGTCTGTGATTCTTGCAGGACTGTCTGTGATTCTTGCAGGACTGTCTGTGATTCTTGCAGGACTGTCTGTGATTCTTGCAGGGCTGTCTGTGATTCTTGCAGGGCTGTCTGTGATTCTTGCAGGGCTGTCTGTGATTCTTGCAGGGCTGTCTGTGATTCTTGCAGGGCTGTCTGTGATTCTTGCAGGACTGTCTGTGATTCTTGCAGGACTGTCTGTGATTCTTGCAGGACTGTCTGTGATTCTTGCAGGACTGTCTGTGATTCTTGCAGGACTGTCTGTGATTCTTGCAGGACTGTCTGTGATTCTTGCAGGACTGTCTGGAGTCCTTGCAAGAGACTGTCTGGAGTCCTTGCAAGAGACTGTCTGGAGTCCTTGCAAGAGACTGTCTGGAGTCCTTGCAAGAGACTGTCTGGAGTCCTTGCAAGAGACTGTCTGGAGTCCTTGCAAGAGACTGTCTGGAGTCCTTGCAAGAGACTGTCTGGAGTCCTTGCAAGAGACTGTCTGGAGTCCTTGCAAGAGACTGTCTGGAGTCCTTGCAAGAGACTGTCTGGAGTCCTTGCAAGAGACTGTCTGGAGTCCTTGCAAGAGACTGTCTGGAGTCCTTGCAAGAGACTGTCTGGAGTCCTTGCAAGAGACTGTCTGAAGTCCTTGCAGACTGTCCGAGGGCATTGCAGTCTCATTTTCACATTATGAAGTTTCACTTCTTTTGCAGTGTGTCATTATTTTTATTCTTTTTTTTGTAGAAAGATGAAGAATTTATTACATTGATTACTAAAAATAAACACAGAAGATTTAAAATTGACTTTTGTCTGTTCCTTATAAAAATGATACAACTGGGTGAAGAAAAAATGATTTATGATGGTTTCCTTATAAAAAATCTGACGTCAATTTTGAAGCATTTATCAAGATTGAGTCAAAAACATTTACGATATACAGCAACATTGGCAGGTAAATTGAATTTGTGAGATTTTTTTTAAAGCATAGATTCTTCGATGGATTTTTAGATATTTTTAGACATCTATATATTTTAGACATTTTTAGACATCTTAATGTTTTGTAGACATTTGTAGATATTTTTTTAAATATTGTATATTTTTAAATTTTGCCAATAGGCCACATATACAATTTTACATACATTTATGTATATCTAGACATTTTTGTTCATATTAAGAATTTTCAGGCACATTTAAACATCGTCTATAGACATTAAAATAATACATTGGTAGAAATATTGAAAAAATGTTTTAAAATTACCATTTGTTTTGCTGATTTTTTTATGTATCTATCCAGGCCTAACTATTACGACAGCATTAGCAGACATTGTGGAAACAATGAATTTGGAAATTAATCGCTTATCAAGACGAATTGAGAATTTAAGTAGGAGGAATCAAAGTCATTTGGAATCCTTGCATGAAAAAAATACAGAATTAATTGACAAGCAAGCAGAACTGGAAATGATGATTAATTCCCTAGTCGAAGATATTTTTTTAAAAAGAATCGAGTAAGATATTTAGACATTTATGGGCCAATTCTCGGATAAGTGTTATCCAAGTTTTGTTAGTAGACATATTAGTTTAACATATCATGTCTTAAATAAGCATATGTTGAGGATTATGTATTCTTGGTGCATCTATTTTATTTTGATAAATTATCTTCTCTATAAAAAAACTTTCAAATAAATGTTTTGAACGTTATCTCAATTTTGCCATATAAATAATAAATAGAAGTCTGCTCGAAGGCAGGGGGCCGTTCAAATATTAAGTAAGCCATATAAGGGAGCGGGGGGGTTATTGATTTGCTCATTTTGCGTGACATTTTGGTGACAGCTTTGCTTACTTTTGACAAGGGGGATGGGAGAAAGAATAATTGTAATAAATCTGCTTACGTAATATTTGAACGATCCCCAGGGGCATGGTTTGAGGACACAAACCAATCAACGATTTTCCTCCCCTCCCTTGTTTATTACAACCGCGGTCGGCTTTTCTTGGAGTCCATGTTTCTGATCCGTAAAGAGCTATGCTCCAGACTTTATCAATCACTTCCGCAATTGGAGGCTAAGTTTGCTCATCATTAGCGTTCTCTTCATTGTGAACGCCGCCTTGGCGCTTGCGATTCTTGTCCTGATCTCTCTCGTGCAGTATCCATCCCTGGTCAAAATGCTTCCTAAATAATTTGAAATGATCAACGTCTTTCAATTATCGATTTCCTACTGTTATTCTCAGGAGCACATCTCTTTTTTGTGATTCTCATCACTTTCGACTTGATGTTGATTTCCACTCCGTATCTTCTACTCTCTTTGATGATTCTGCTCATTTTGTTTTGCATCTCGGTTTGGTAGCGATATCACCGCTAGATTAATCTTTTCACCATAAAAATAAAATATGTCACCAAGAATGGCTATTATACACCTACCATAACATCTTTAACCACTTTAGTTAAATAATATTATTTTTTTTATTTAAATATTTACAGAGATTACGTACCACAGATACGCAGTATCTGTGTATACGAATTGGGCCGCTGGATGGAAACACATCCAAGGCAATTTTTAAATGACGAAAATTTGGAATTCATCGCATGTTTAGTGTGTGACAAGGTATATATAAATAAATGCTTGCCTTACCTACCACTATTTTCCTCCCTTTTTCCAATTTTTTATGTATTTTTATTTCTAAACTTCAGATTCCATGCTCCTGATTTCTCCGTATTTTCTCTTCTCGCGTAAGTCGTCAATCCTCTGCATTCTTCTTTTTCCCATTCCTTTCAGTCCTTCTGTTTTACCATCGATATTTACCAATAATAATGATTTTTTCTACACAGGATTATTCAGTTCGAGAACAATCTCTGGAAGCATTGATACCTCTATATGAAAACGATAAGATAGCAAGAGAATTGAAATTATTTACACAGAAATATAAAGATAGACTTATAAGTTTAACTTGTGACAAGAGACCTTTCAATCAAGTGATTGCCATTAAGCTGGTCACTGTTATGTTCAGGTGAGTTGAGAATAAAAACATGCACTTAATAGACATATGCATGAAACTTTGCATGGTGATAAGGTTGATACTCAATAAGGTACGAAAAAGAGTTGTCAATATTTTAAGTCAGTTGTAAATGAAAAATATCACTCAATAAGACCACAGTCTAGGGAATTATGACGGGTCTTTTCATATACAGATTTAATTGTCTCAGTGCACTTACCCTTCTAACATTTTGACAAAACTTTGCATGGTGGTAAAAGGCAAGCATTTAGATTTGCAGACGACATAATACTTTTGTCAGAGACTGCCGGTTAGATGCAATGTTTGATAGTCTTTAGTGTCCAGACCAATCTGGACCGAGATAGTGTCCAGATTGGTCTGGACACCAAAACATTGATCAACAACCGATGGTAAATTCCAGTACTAGTCAACAAGAAGGCAATAAATATATTTTTGAAAAACTATTAGGGAAAACAGAAATAATGACCAAAATAGAAAAAAGTATACATTCAACATGGAGCAAATATTGGAACTTAAAAGAAATCTTCAAAAGTAATATGCCTATAGACGTACGAAAACAACTGTTTTCGTACGGAGATACTCCAGGAACTACGTTGTTTCAAAACTTTTCCATTGACTATCAACTCTATCAACATGCTAAGTTTCTGAAGTAAGACTTCTTTAGGCGCGACTAGGGTGTAAATCCGAACAAATGCAACGGAAGTCCGTTACGGCCGAACTGTTTGTCATTGTGATTAGCCGTCGTGTACGTGAATAAAGATCTGTCGTTGTATGCGTACCGATTTCGACGAGGAAATCAGAATAGTTAAATAGACATTTTAAATTTACATCGTAGTACAAATCTTGATTTAATAAAAAAAAATGTCTGAATCAGAAGAATACTTTACCTTGTTCCTTGAAAATAATAAAACAAATTAAACATTTGTGCCGTGTACTACACGTAAGTTTATTGATTAGAAATTATTTCTATATTATTCGTAGTTTCTATAAATCTTTGAAGTTAATAAAATGGAAAATATTTTTTAGGCAAGACAAAGCAAAGAATGAGAATATATCGCCAGCGAAAAAGTAAAATAAATACAAGATGTCAATAAATGTATGTTAATTTTAATTACATGAAGTTCTTCAAACAATATTACATGATGAGTAAAGTTGCGAAAATAATATTTGTTTAGACGTTGTTTAACATAATCCACTGTGTGAACGAATATTATAGAATTTATTAATCAGCATTTACTTCATTTCTCTAATGAAGGTTCATTTCTAAATGCTAATTACAATGACAAACCGATGTCATATTTGAAGTATGACTTTAATTACATTATTGTTTTCAAATATTATAGATATTTGTAATGCTATTATAAATATATGATTTATAATTTATTATATAAATGTGTATAATGATTGACACTAATTTACCATTTAATCTAATATACTTAGATATGCAGCACAACAACAGATCTACATATCTTTTATATCTAGTCTTAATTTATCCATTTTTGTCCATTCAGGTCATATCGTGACCTCTTCACTAGAGAAGACGTATACATGGTTTTCAGAATGGTACTCAATTCCAACCGTAGAGTTGCAGTGACTGCAGGTGAATTTTTAAATGATGTCATTGAGAGAGTGGATGAAGAAAATAATTCAGGCTCTCTAAAACGTGCCGGATTTAATGTACGATGGCTTCGATATATTGTAACTTCCTTTATTAAATTGGGGGTAAGTAGAATATGCATAGTCATATGTCATGTGGATGTCGTCTATAGGATAGATACCATTATTCTTTATTTTTATTATTATTTTTCAGCATTTAGATCTGGTTCCATATCTAGTGGATGCCCTTATTGCAAAGTTTGAAATAATAAAAGATTGGGAAATAATGATACATATTCTCACACAAACCGATGATCTTTTGACCCCAATCGAGCAAGATGTTCTGACTGAAATGATGTTATGGTCTGCAAGATTGGCAACTACTGGAGAATATCCATGGGATAGAGCAGTTGATAACATGGTAATATTGCATATAAAACTGGGGTAACTTGACTTATTTTAATGTGCTGACTTTAAGAAAAGGGCGGGGGACTTATGGAAGCTACAAGAATAAATATTTTCCAGAAATTATGCAAGTTGCAATACTTGAATTCGTGCAACTGGTCGATCCATAACTTAGAACAAATAAGTATAATTACAGGCACAGGACTCTGCTTAATTGATATATGTAACGGCTCTCCTGGTCAATAAAATAAACAAAATACTCTTGGTCTCCTGATAATTCGAATCTTCTGAATCTTTGGACGGTGTATGGACTCACGACCAATGAGAGTAGTTTGTTGCTTTTAGTACTGCATCTGTTTCCTTGATATCATATTACAGTATGATAGTGGTCAAAGGTTTAATGCAATCATTTATAAGTCGAATTAGAATTAAGTAAATCAATTAGATCGATAGAGTAAAAGTACCCTGCCCTGGTTTTAATGTCAGTACATCCAAATGGGTAGAACTACCCGGTTGTTTCTTCTTCTAGTGTGTTGATTATATGTTTAAACATTATTTTTTACTTTTATATTTTATTAGTTTTTATATTTATAGGTCCCAAGTTCAGAAGAAATAAAGCAAATGAAGGAAGACAAATCAAATATGACGAAACATCTGATGCCGGTGATACCAATTCTGTTGGCTCAGTTTAAAAACAATGTGAATTGTTTAATCAATTTAATGGAAATACCCCAATACTTCGACTTAGAAACTTACACAAGTGAAATGGAAGATCTGGTTAGTATTTTAAGGAGGTTTTTGGTTTTTTTAACAAAAAATGCAAGATATTTGTTCTTGTTTTTCAAGAAATGTATTTATCATAGAGACATGAGTTTTTTTAAACAAAAATTACAAAATCATAGAATATTACGAAATTTTCTTTTTTTTCGCCGTCATTTTTTAACCAGGGGCGCCAAAGTCGGCCTCTTTTACGGTGCCACAGATAAATCCGTTGCGCATCGCCTGAAACAAAAAAAAGAAACTACGCCGAAGAAGAAGTTTGAATCCAGTCCCCCTACCAAAATGAAAGAAAAAAAGCAAGAAGGAAAAAAATGGCAGCTATTTTAAAAAAAGTGTTAAAAAACGCCTTTTTTGGGGGCGAGAAGCTTTGCAAAAATTTTTTACGTAATGTTATCAAGTTGTTTGAGGTAGGGGGACTAGGTATTGCAGTGGTGAACAAATTAAAAAAATTGCAAGTCGATCCGACTTGTAGTTTTTTTTTAATTTGTGGCACCGCATTGAAAAAAGTCAATTTGAGAAAAACGTATTTGAAGTTTTTAATATATTGTACTAAATACACCATTTAATTTAATGTACTAAATACACCATGGTGTTCAAAGAATGCTGACACATTAAAAAGGTCACGTGCATGAGGTATTATAATGAAAAAGAGAGCAGCTGGCATACAATAGCTCGCGGAGGGATGAAAAAACTGGTTTTTTATATATATATCTATAACTTCGTCAAAAATAGATATTGAGATGATTTTTTTTTAAATATTTCTAAGGTTTTTAGCTTTCATAATATCAAACAACCCCCATATTTATTGTACCTATGAATACCTATAAGGATTACTTTGCAGACGTGGTCTTTGTCCTAGTGCTTGAATTGCCATCAGGGAAAGTTTATATTTTACCCAGAAATTACTTTTGCATGTGGGAATGTTCATGCATCTTGCATTTATAGTTTTTCTAGTTTTTTACCCTATGTGTTTTATCCTTGCAGCATTTAAAAAAATTATTAAGCGCATTAGAAGACATCGTCAGGGAGACGACAAACGCAAATCTATTACGTAAGTGCAGCAAAACTTTACATTGCCTATATAAAAGGGCAAGCATTGCTGCAGAATGCGATGCCGTCGGATATACCATTGTCAAAGAATGCGCCTACATATATATGGAGCCATCACTAACATGGCAAAGTATTGTGGATGGGGTAAGAATTCAATTTTTGTTATGTGTAGAAAGTTGTCAAACAATTCATCTCTTGATCAGAATTTTTTTTTTCTAGCAAATGGATCCAAAAGATGCAAACAAAGAGGATTATCTTCTAATTGTAAATTGCCTGAAGAAAATAGCCATTTTCTACTCCTTACATAACGTAAATTATTTGAATATATACGATGATCTTTTAGATGAATTTCAAGTGTATAGGGATGGGGTCATTCATAGAAATCTTCCTATTGAGGTATGTTAATTAGATCAAAGATTAAACATAACTAATTCATACTCTTATCAACATATCTTTTAGGGATCAATATACTGCCTAATTTCCTGCGGTGCATATTTATCGTGGGAATTAAAGGCACTAAAAGAACTGAATGATATGGTACTGGATTGTATGGTACGAGCCAAGGTACTAAAGCTAAAATTAAAAGAATATTTTGAAATTTGCAAAGACATCGTTCAAAATGTCATTTATGATGATCTGCACAAAGCTGTAAGTTGATTTAAAAGAATCATCAAACTAAGACAAGTTTTAATAATATTTTTTTAAACTACATATAATCTATTTGTCTACCTATCCACCTGTCTACTTCTTTAACTCTCTACTTCTCAACAGCCTGTTTACAGGTCAACCTGTTGACCTGTTTTCATGTCTACAAATTTACCTGCTTACATGTCTACCTGTCTACCTGTCCATCTGGTTACCTGTCTATGTATTCACCTGCTTACTTATAAGTCTACTTGAAAACCAACTTACCTTTATCAGTCTGCTCATCAATACGAATCGAATGCTTTTTGAGTAATTCAAATCGGATAATCGGTGCTCCGGAGTTGTCTACAAAAAATGGTATCTTTATTGTTAATAAAATTGTATAATCAATAAGGTTCATATATAGTAGATTCGGCTAATTCATACCAAATGATTTTTGTTTTGACCATAAATACATTTATAGTAAATATATTGAATCAAAGCTTACCATGTGTATCCAAGCCTAACAAAAATGTATGGGAAAGCATTGTATTAGGTTTGGACGACATACCTGTCTACCTGTCCATCTGGTTACCTGTCTATTTATTCACCTGCTTACTTACAAGTCTACTTGAAAACCAACTTACCTTTATCAGTCTGCTCATCAATACGAATCGAATCTTGTCTGAGTAATTCAAATCGGATAATCGGTGCTCCTGAGTTGTCCACAAAATGGTATCCTTATTGTTAATAAAATTGTATTATCAATAAGGTTCATATATAGTAGATTCGGCTAATTATTCATACCAAATGATTTTTATTTTGACCATAATTTTAACCATAAATACTAAAGTAAAAATATTGAATTAAAGCTTACCATGCGTATCCAAGCCTAATCAAAAATGTATGGAAAAGCGTCATGTTAGGTTTGGACGACATGACAAGCACTCACGATTTTTGAATAATTCAAACTATTTTGGTCATAATATTCGAAGTTGCTGAAATATTTTTTGTATTTTTAGTAAATTCATTTCTAACATTTTAGGCTTTGTGTTCAATTTGTGATATGGCCGCGAATTTCCATCGAGAGCTGGGCAACCATCGAAACCAAATAATTCACGATTTAGTTCTACATCTCAGCTCGGATGACATCACACTAATAAATAAATATACAGAAGAGTATGTTTTCATAAAACATTGGAAAGGTAATAATGAGGACAAGATTAATTTAAATATTACTTATTGAAGTAGAACTTCTAATGCAAGGTGCCAACAAAAAGTGTGAAATAGAAAGAAATCAAGTGAGAATTGTCTGAAGATAGTCTAGATTGTATGAAAATTTTGTGATTTTTGTGAAATTGTATGAAGAAGTTGCAGATTGTCTGAAAATGCTGTGGATTAGCTAATGATTTTGTTTGTTCCTGTGAAGTTTTGTCTGAAAATTGCTTGTTTCAAACTGATTATTCAGATTGTCTGAAGGAGTTGCAGATTATTTTTAAATTTTGTAATTTCTTTTAAAACGTTGTAGATTATCTGAAGATTTTGTAGATTGTCTGAAGATTTTTAGAATTAGTCTGGAGATGGTCCAAGTTTGTCTGAAGATTTGTAGATTGTCTGAAGATTTCATAGATTGTCTGAAAATGTTCTAGTTTGTTTCAAAATAATTTAGATTCTTTGAAGAAGTTGTAGATTGTTTTTGAATTTTGTAATTATGGTTTTAAAATGTTGTAGATTATCTGAAGATTTTGTAGATTGTCTGGGAATTTCATAGATTGTCTGAAGGTTTCATAGATTGTCTGCCTGGAGATTTCATAGATTGTCTGCCTGGAGGAGATTTCATAGATTGTCTGTCTGGAGACTCCATAGATTGTCTGTCTGGAGACTCCATAGATTGTCTGTCTGGAGACTCCATAGATTGTCTGTCTGGAGACTCCATAGATTGTCTGCCTGGAGGTTTCATAGATTGTCTGCCTGGAGGTTTCATAGATTGTCTGCCTGGAGGTTTCATAGATTGTCTGCCTGGAGATTCCATAGATTGTCTGCCTGGAGGTTTCATAGATTGTCTGCCTGGAGGTTTCATAGATTGTCTGCCTGGAGGTTTCATAGATTGTCTGCCTGGAGGTTTCATAGATTGTCTGCCTGGAGGTTTCATAGATTGTCTGCCTGGAGGTTTCATAGATTGTCTGCCTGGAGGAGATTTCATAGATTGTCTGTCTGGAGACTCCATAGATTGTCTGTCTGGAGACTCCATAGATTGTCTGTCTGGAGACTCCATAGATTGTCTGTCTGGAGACTCCATAGATTGTCTGCCTGGAGGTTTCATAGATTGTCTGCCTGGAGGTTTCATAGATTGTCTGTCAGGAGGTTTTATAGATTGTCTGTCAGGAGGTTTCATAGATTGTCTGCCTGGAGGTTTCATAGATTGTCTGTCAGGAGGTTTCATAGATTGTCTGCCTGGAGGTTTCATAGATTGTCTGTCAGGAGGTTTCATAGATTGTCTATCAGAAGGTTTCATAGATTGTCTATCTGGAGGTTTCATAGATTGTCTGCCTGGAGATTTCATAGATTGTCCGCCTGGAGGTTTCATAGATTGTCTGCCTGGAGGTTTCATAGATTGTCTGCCTGGAGGTTTTATAGATTGTCTGTCAGGAGGCTTCATAGATTGTTTGCCTGGAGGTTTCATAGATTGTCTGTCAGGAGGTTTTATAGATTGTCCGCCTGGAGATTTCATAGATTGTCTGCCTGGAGGTTTCATAGATTGTCTGTCAGGAGGTTTTATAGATTGTCTGTCAGGAGGTTTCATAGATTGTCTATCTGGAGGTTTCATAGATTGTCTGCCTGGAGATTTCATAGATTGTCCGCCTGGAGGAGATTGTCTGGATATTTCAAAGATTGTCTGGATATTTCATAGATTGTCTGGATATTTCATAGATTGTCTGGATATTTCATAGATTGTCTGGATATTTCATAGATTGTCTGGATATTTCATAGATTGTCTGAAGATTTCATAGATTGTCTGAAGATTTCATAGATTGTCTGAAGATTTCATAGATTGTCTGAAGATTTCATAGATTGTCTGAAGATTTCATAGATTGTCTGAAGATTTCATAGATTGTCGGGAGATTTCATAGATTGTCGGGAGATTTCATAGATTGCCTGAAGATTTCATAGATTGCCTGAAAATGTTCTAGTTAGTTTCAAAATAATTTAGATTGTCTGAAGGAGTTCTATCAAGATTGTTTTTGAATTTTGTAATAATGGCTTTAAAATGTTGTAGATTATCTGGAAATTTGTAGATTGTCTGAAGATTTATATAAATGTTTGAAAATGCTGCGGATTGCCCGAAACTGCTATGGTTAGGCTATAAATTTTTTGGATTATCTGCAAATGTTGTAAATTGCAGATTATCTTAGTGTTGTAGATTTTTTGAAGATATTGCAGACTATCTATATTTTCATGAAAGTGTTGTAAGTTGTCTCAAAATGTTGAATATTATCTCAAGATGCTGTATATTGTCTGGAGATGATTATAGATTGCCTGGAGATGGTTCACATTTGTCTGGAGGTTTGTGGTTGTGAGAGAACAGATGAAAAATTTTAGCAAAAATGGCAAATAAATATATTTCTATATTTGGGAAAGTTTCTGAACATATTTTGATAGTGTTATTGTTTGATATGTGTTATGTGTTGGAATGCTGAATGGGATATTTTACTCGAAGATACATCTAACAACTCGACATTATCAATACATTTATGTTTAGATTTTTATTTATATGAAAACGCAGTTTATCCAAAACACAAAATTAATATGACTTTACTATAGAAGACTTTTGTAATTAATTATGTTATTATCTCATTGTAGGAAAACACGAAGAAAATGAGAGTCAGGTGAAAAACGTCGTGAAGTCTTGGAGTGTTATTCCAAACTCATTGATTTTAATATCGTACCATCTGCTAATGCAGAATTTATTTTAAAGTATTGTGTAAAGGTAAGGTTGTAATAGTTGTACGCTGCATATTAAACCTTCTTCCTATTTCATTTAGTAATTTATTATATTTTGCAGTGTGAAAAATGCTATGGAGATATCATAAAGAAAATTGTCACCATGATGTGCCGCCTCAACAGGAGAAATTGCACCCTGACCATGTTCCTGATTTTGTCGAAAATTTATGTGGAGGTGGAGAGATCATTGGGCAAAGATTATGTGCTTGATAATAATGTCGAAGAATTTGCGGAGCTTAAGGTATTTATTCTGCTATAACAATATAGATTTTTGTGATGTTGCATCAACAAGAATTGAAGAACTTAATTTATATTCATATTTACTAATCCCTGGAGATTATTTTTTTATTATTAATCTATGAACGTTAAACGTTTAAGTAAAAATTCAACATTTTTTATTTGTATTCATAAATAGTACTTTGCCTACATCTGTACCACCTACTGCAATACCTCACAGGTTGGAACCGACGTATTGATTTTATATAAATGTTATATAATGTTAAATGTTAAATTTACGAAACAGTTTAACGTAACGGTTACGTTATAAAGAAAAACGATGGATTTACGTTTAAAGGTTATAATTAAACGATTTATTAACGTAACCATAAAATACGTAACAACGTTTCTTCTGTGCTACGTTATTTGAACTTTATGTGACGTTTGTGGTGTACTGGGATTTTATTCTTTTTATTTTACTCAGACTTTGGCCGCACGTTTAGCAGAGTTATTGGGCACAAACAAACATGAAAATCGACATGCAGTAGGTATGTTAC